TGAGCAGAGTAATTAGACTCTTGGAGACCCCATTCACTTCTAGTCCCTTGTGGTAGGAATAAGAACACAGTTATGGGGGGGTGCAACTGGCTTGCAATAAAATCCCAGGCAGTGGCAATTTTGTATTAATTTAAGAACAAGGTTAATTTAAGCTTTTAAGCTTAAGAAAGCAGCTGGGGAAAAAAATGGTTTTCATGCAACAAGCAGAAGCTTATCTAAATAAGGCCTTTCTTCCTAAAGCTCAGGGTGAGATATTGCTGGTAAAGATGTAGGTGTGACACCATATAGTCTTCACTCAGCTTCATATGAGGAGGTGGAAGTGCTTCTTTTTTAATACAATTTCAGTAAAAGTAGAAAACTTCAGGTGAGGTGAGGAATAGCTTGGCTGATCTACTTGACAACATTACTAACAAACACGCTGCTTGATTTGGTTTGTTGTGTTACTGCCCTCTACTGGAAATACAATTTCATGTTCACGTTACAGGCATTCACCAAAAAAACCCAACCTCAAAGCCAAAAAACCTAAATCCCACAAATAAGGGAGTCCTAACACTTTTAATTCACCGACTGCCACTAAGGACTCCTTTGGCTCCAATCAAGAAAGCAGTTTTCAAGGGTAGATACTTCTGTGTGCTGCCTCACTTATGGGATTGATACCGCTGCAGTGGTGCCATGGAGGTACAGACTTTGAGCACACTTGGGTAACTGCAGTAAATGCACCTTTGCCATGTAGGGGGAAAGTCATTTTAACTTCTCACTGAAGAACTTCACTGTGAGCTTAGAGAAGTCTTCCTGCATGTTCACAAAAGAAAAACCATCTGTGTATAAGCTCTTTTGATACAGCAGCAGTTGACACCAGCCTGCTCAGAAGAGATGCCTGTATGCTCAGGCTCAAGAGCATGTTGCCTGGGGGAGTCTCTCAGAAAGGGGAAAGTTAACCATGGTTACTGCAGCTCCAGTTTAGATTGTCAAAGAAACCAAGCTACAGCTTAGAGCATAACGCATTGCCTGTGGCCTATAAAAAGTTGGGGTTAACAATGGCAAACTTACAAACCAGCTGGCAATAGTAAGAGCAGGTTATATCCTTGGTTGTTATCAAACAAGGAGATCAAACAGCTTCATGATTTTAGAGGTCACTTATTTCATCTGTAGCAATACAGCAACTAGGAGGAGTACAGTGAATTAGGAGGAGGCATATACTTCACCCTGTGCACAAACACAGCCAAGGGATGTGACCAAGTGGGAAGCAGAACTGCACAGGAAGCGGAGAGCTACTGATAGCCAAAATGGCAGTGCCGTTTTAATTTTGTTTTCTCAAGATTACCTTGCACTCTGACACACTTTAACCTGCCTTCAAACTATGAGGCTTAGGAATTGGCTTGCTTAAGATACTATTCAAATTCCTCAATCTCAGAAGAAATACATGCTTTAAGCATTTTGAATTATGCCAGCTCATGCCTACCTTGAGCAACAGTTAGTGTTTCACAGAAGAAAGCTTTTGTGAAACTTTCAGCAAAGAGTACAATTTTTTCCACAAAGCATTTTTCTCCCACTGTATTCCCTGCATGTTGTGCTATACATTATTAAGGCTAATTTTGTTCCTCCCCGTATATTACAAATTAGAGACTTGGTATTAAATCTTTCTGTAGGCTCAGATATCTGCAAGGAAACCATTGCTTGCTCAATGGGTTGCTGTAGATTGCCCTCCGATTGCGATCCAGACACCAGCTGGCATCTTATACTTACCCATTTCATAATAGGTGCCCAGAAAAACACTGTTTTGGGACCTGAGAGAGGAGGGGGAAAAAAAGAAAAGAAGTTAAATTATTCAGTGAGATGTAGCTGTTTTAATATCTACAGTAAGTTTTGGAGTTGTTTCATTTTTTTAAATAATGAATTGTGTATATTAGCGCAGTTTCTACCACTGTATGAGCTCTATCACCTAATACTTATAGTTCATCAGCTCAGTGCATCAACCTTCAGTTGTGTAATCAGGCCACCCATTTCTGCAACAGATGAGTAGGATTTTGTATTTCCCTTTTTAAGCAAACGACACTAGAGCAGGCAAAATGCACTTATAGTGAAAGGAGTTAGGATAAGGCCTAGGAACAGTGAAGACAGTTTCTATATAGTGATTAAAAGCTACTCTACAGCTGGACTAACAGAAATAGTATTTGAAATCTTTGTGAACTGAATCTTGTAAACTAAAACCCCCAAATATTTTATTACTGGTACTGTAACAAGTCACTTCCTCCTTCCCTTCCCAAATCACAGCCCACCTCTTCATGCTACCGAAGACATGCTGTGCAGCAGCATTAGATGATTAAAGTGAGAGTACAGATTGCAAACATAAGTAGCAGTAAATGTCGCAAGGGGAGTGTCCTCATTCACCCTAATCTGCATCCCTGAATAACCACGTCTTTCTAGCAGAAACAATGCTTCCCTCCGAATCAACCCTACACCCCAATAATCTACCAATAGGCCAAGGAGGATAATGGGGGAAGAGGACAAGATCTACAGAAGGAAGGGAGAAAAGTCAATGGAATAGGATCTGGGGGAAAATATCTCTTCCAAATACATACGTCCTACAGCAGTGCTAAAATAGCAACTGGTTGGTTAAAACAAAGTACTGTAATGCCACACCTACAATGTGCAGGTTGCCAACCACGCCAGAAATCATTAATCTAGGACTACCACTCGAAGTCTTAAAAGAGAGACCACAATCCAAAGTACCAACCCACCGCACTGGGAGACAGTCAGGACACTGGTTCCGATTTCATCAAAACACATGAAGTTTTAGGTCTTGCTAGGCCACTGCTCAGTATTCTGATAACATGCAAGATGAAGCCAAGTTTTCACCATAATATGTTACATATTATGAGTAAAGTTTTTAAATATGATAAACAGTAGGACTTTGGTTGCTTGCTTTTTATGTGAGCTAATTTTTCACTAACAATTCAGCCTTAAAAAGGCCTTGCAGTAACTATTTGTACTCCCTGTTTTAAGTACCTTCAAGTTTAAAACTGTGACTTGGGAAAAATTAACTGTCAGGTTTCTACAGCAAGCACCTGTGAAGCAACTCATAATTTGGGGGATAAGACTAATTCTTACAAATACCAGTTGCTCACCTTAAAGCCAACTGAGCCCTGTAAAAGGGCAGGGCAACTGCAGCACAGAAGGCAACAAAAACTGGCTTGGCGGCTTTGTGTAAAGCCCTCTTAGACCCACACTGCTTGTGATAGTGATCAAGTTTCAAACTGCAGTTAATAACTACCAGCACATTACTTTTGTCTTAGATAACTGAATGTTTCTACCTACATGGGATTTAATTTTTTTTAGGATGCCTGGGGTGGTGCAGCCACTAAAACTGCCTAATGTTGTTGAACAAATACAGCCCAATAGTCATCTTTTAAAGATAGAAACTTCAGTTGCTGTTCTCTCAGGCAGCTACTTAGTATGTCAGTATCAGGCTGCAAATACAGCTCTTTATAAATCAGTCTTACAGAGGTCCCACGAAAGTAGCTTTAATTACTATCATCTATTTTCTTCTAAAACACAAATTCAGATTTGGAGTACTAGAGAATGTGGGGTCAGTATAAATTATTAAATCGACATTCCCTAAACAGCTAGCAAACTTTTCAAGAAGACTGACATTAATTTTTATTAATAAGAGATAACTTGGTAATTTAAAACTGCTGACTTCAAAAGTAAGAAACAATTGAAGACAAGTAAGGTACCAAGCCAAGCTTGTTATAAGGGAAGACTGTCAAATGCCTTAAGCAGAACACCTCTGCTGGACGCACTCCAATAAGCATCCAGCTGGGGCGAGCTCTTCCCAGATCCTGACACCTGGAATTTTTCAAGGGTGAATTTGACAGCAGCACATCAGAGCAGGGGCATACCACAGGCTAAGTTGGACATTGTGTGTGTCACCAGCTTATAGAATTTACAACTTCTATTAAATGTAAGAAGTCTTTGTCCTGGAGAGTTTAGTTTAATCAGGCAAAGTGAACCAAAGAGGCCAAAGGAGAGGGAGTAGAAGCACAGCCCATGCTTCCCCGTGGCTGCCAAGAGCAATGTTCCCCGCTCTGTGGCAGCCTGGGGAGTTGGTGTGCTGTACCCCAGGCCCTTCGCTGTCCTCCAGCGGCCTCACTCTGTGCAATGCCAGCCAAGAAAACGCTTTTCAGACCAGGCTTCAATTACTTCACTGGAAGCTTTCTCTGTGCCAGAAAACAAGTAGGCATTGTTCTTCATTTCTCCCAAGTGATTTATAATTTCATTATAATGACACTTATACTCCTAAATTAGACTAGAAACTTAGATACCACCAGAGATAAAATGTGAGCCTTTCATTTTTAACCTACTTGTTTTGCAGTCAGAGTGACATCTATTGCATAACTTTCTCACAGACTCACCTTCCAGACATTCAAGGCTGAAACAGAAGTGGCAGAGGTTCAGATTTGATACCTGCTTGCTCTGTGGCTTTTCTCACTTACGCCATCAGTACGGATTATGGCAGATATATATGTATATATACATACAGACCCACACAGAGTCCCTAAAAAATGGATTTTTTAAGATTAATTTCAATGTGATGGTGGTGAACAAAAGTGGCCCACAGGCAGTTCCATGAAGTGAAAAGCACTGCAAGAGAACCTCCAAAGCCTTTTTCAATTAGTACTACGGTTCTGATGAAGAATGAACATAGATGTTCCCAGTGCTCGCCATGCCTTGTATTCAATACAAGCAATTGGAAGCTGCCACATTTCACACAGGATGAATGTGGCACTCAGAAGCTTTTGGCACCTTTACAATGGAAGCGCTGGACATATTGACTTTTTAGATACAAAAATTACATTAATATTAAATATGTATATAGGTCTAGTGAATTCAGTACGAATCAGACATTTTAATAAACTGCAGTTTTCACTCTTTAACTGTGATTTCTAGAAAGCAACAATTTTCACTTCAAGAAAGGTCCATTATAGGAGGATGGAGCAATGGACCAAAAACCAAAGTCCACTTCTACAGTGCATATTACAGGTAGGTGAAGAGTCAAGGTTGCCTATCACACTGAAACAGAACAGTGGGAACAGCAGCCTATGGAATTTTGGGATTTTATCGAGCACTCTTTTTAACTATCCTATGCAATTTGTTTACATAACAAACATCACCTCAATGGCACTGAAGCAGATCATTTTACAAGAGGGTTCTCCCTAATAACCCAAACCCCCATGTTTGCTCAAGTAAAGGTGAGCTTTAGGTCAGCTGATAGTAGCCCATTTCAGGGAATCTTGAGCCCTTCCGACCCCACAGGAGCCCTTCGGCTACGACAGCGGATTCCTCAAGGGCACGAGCTGCCTTCGGTAGCAGGGCCGGATTCACCAGAAAGCGGCTCGACTTAAACCAGAGTACACTTCAGGAACTCTTGCCGCGCTCCCCCCCCCGCTATTTTTTCAGCACATCCACGTGAAAGAAGTGGCAGCTGAAGCCTTCGGGCCCCTCTGGAAGTCGTCACGGCCCCCGGAGGAGGGTCAGGCAGCCCAGCCGCCCCCCGCGTTCAAACGGCGGGGCCGTGCGGCAGCGGCGGCGCTCCGGTCCGGTCCGCTCGTGCATCCCGGCAGACGGCAGCAACAGCAGCTCGCGTCACGCCTGTCGCCCTCCGTCCTCCCAAAGAAGAGAGGTCTTCCTCTGACGAGCGGGAGCCCGCTCTTCGGCAGCCTTCCCCGCGCCACGGCCACGGCTCTGCCGCCCCGACCCCGC